GTGGGACTCAAAAAGTGGGACCAAGCTAATGAACAAAGGTCCCACGTAAGACTTCAAAACCAAGTACTAAAAGGGAGTTTAGAGATTTGAAGTTCTGAATGTTCTAAAATCTTGAAGTCCCAAAGTTCAAAAACTCTGAAGTCGCAAACTCAAAACGTCCTAAAATTCTAAATCCTTAAAGTGCCAAAGCACCAAAATTCCCAAGTTCCAAGTACAGTATCTCATCTTCCAGAAGTGCCAAGTACACATATGTTCACATATGATTCTAAAATCTTGAAGTCCCAAAGTCCCAAAACTCTGAAGTCTCAAACTCAAAACGTCCTAAAATTCTAAATTCCTAAAATGCCAAAGCACCAAAATTCCCAAGTTCCAAATCCAGTCATCTTCCAGAAGTGCCAAGTACACATATGTCCACATATGATTCTAAAATCTGAAGTCCCAAACTCACAACATCCTAAGATTCTAAATTCCTAAAATGCCAAAGTATCAAAATTCCCAAGTTCCAAGTCCAGTCATCTTCCAGAAGTGCCAAGTACACATATGTCCACATATGATCCTACTCCACAAAAATAAGATCAACTAACAATCCACCCCTAATTCACAATCCACATTAAAACAATCACCACCTCGTACCTAATCACATATAGAAAAGCCCTCTCCAACAAGTCCTTATTCGAACACCAGAAAAAATGATAATTTCAAAAGATCCATAACCTCGTATATCATTGAAAGTGGCTCTTCGGTATTTATCGTCGCGAGAAACGCGAGAGTCGCGAAAAGCGAGTAAGAAAGAGGGCGGGAAATATGGTGGGCGAAAGGACAGAGGGCCGAGTAGGAGAAATCGTGAAAGTACTCGCCAGAGAGAACTGCAGGATGACGGATGGAGGGCAGGAAGCGACACAGGAACCGGAACCCATTACTCCAGATAACAACTTCCCTAAGGCTTCCTTTCCTTCTTCTACATCCACCGGTAAACCCAATATACACACACGTGGGCGGGCGCGATTCTCACGGGCACGAATCCGGAAATTTACCACTCCTGTTGCCATTTTGCTCGAATACCGTGCAACTGGTGGCAAGACGCTATAAACCTTGATCGTTTCTCAACAAAATTGACCATCGAGCACCCCATTTCGTCGATATCTATGGTCGTTGGATCGATGTTAATCTACTTCTCTATCGAACCTTAATAAGGTTCGAGTTTTAAATAAAAGCAACTTTTACAGATACTTTTGAACATAGATTTGTATGAAATTTTAGAGAGGGTGGATTACGTAGGTCTGAATATTGGGTAATGTTCTACTGTTCTCAAAAGTCAGATCTGAAGTATGCTCTCAAATATAGGATTGTTGTCTCAAAACTACAGTAATAGCTTTGTTGTATGAAATGATTCATTTTGAAAGGACAGTCAGATCTGATGAGATGAAAAATGTGGATCGACCTTGAATGATGTTCTGACATTTCCAAGAGCCACAAGACCTGAAGAGAACTATTTTCAAACTCAGGATAATTGTCAAATTTTATTGTTGATGAAATGATTCATTTTGAAAGGACAGTCAGATCTGATGAGATGGAAAATGTGGATCGACCTTGAATCATGTTCTGACATTTCCAAAAGTCACAAGATCTGAAGAGGACTACTCTCAAACTCAGGATAATTGTCAAATTTTATTGTTGATGAAATGATTCATTATGAAAGGACAGTCAGATCTGATGAGATGAAAAATGTGGATCAACCTTGAATCATGTTCTGACATTTCCAAGAGCCACAAGACCTGAAGAGAACTATTTTCAAACTCAGGATAATTGTCAAATTTTATTGTTGATGAAATGATTCATTTTGAAAGGACAGTCAGATCTGATGAGATGGAAAATGTGGATCGACCTTGAATCATGTTCTGACATTTCCAAAAGTCACAAGATCTGAAGAGGACTACTCTCAAACACAAGGTAATTGTCAAGTTTTATTGTTGATGAAATGATTCATTATGAAAGAACAGTCAAATCTGATGAGATGAAAAATGTGGATCAACCTTGAATCATGTTCTGACATTTCCAAAAGTAACAAGATCTGAACTACTCTGAAAGGCAGAATGTGTGCAACTATTTAATTGTACAAAATTTGGCAAATATTTAAACCTAGTTGTTTTATTTAACAGTGAAACTTGACAACAAGAGTATTTGAAGAGATGACATCAGTCGAATATCAGTTGCACCAAAAAAGCCTTCGTTAACATTCACACACAATGGCTCTGACGTAACACCGCTAAAAGAATGACATATGAGTATCTCAAAATTTGTTCAATCAATTAAGAGAGAAGTTAAACTTAAATGACTACGTGACAGGTTTATCAATGTTAATGTTAAGCCAGTTCGTGGAACTGGTTCGATGACGCACGCCTACCTGATCATAGTTGATCAACACGTTCTAACATCTTGTTTGTATTTGTTATACTACATATTTAGTTATACTATAGTTGTACTATATATGCTTATACTACAATTATAATAGTATCTATTGTACATATGATGTCAAGGTCTTCATAGATATGAAAGTCTTTGACACATCAACGAAAGGTCTTTGACACATCAAGTGAGTTTTGGAGAATCTTTAAAAAAGAATTAGCGAATCACACAGATCAATTGGACAACGCTGACGGACATTGACGGCGAAGCGTGAAGAGGAGATTCAGGTTGAAATGGAAATGGGCGTCGCGGTGGTAGGGAAACCACCGACGCCGCCACTGTTACTAAATGGGCTCCGAGCGGGTTACCCAACTGTTGCGCCTTCATCAGAAATTTATGCAGAATCCTGGGTTAACCGTCCCGGCCAATCAGCTTTGTAACTAAGCTAACATCGTATCAGCGAGGGAACGAAACCAGGAGATGCTCTGATTTAGTAAAAAGCGTTTAATATTTTGCACCTTTGGACAGCTGCGAGGTCTGCTGGAACTTTGCGACAGAATGAATATGGTTTATTGTGATTTTCTCGACAAGGGTGAATGACTAGGTTCAGTTGTTTTATTCAGTTAGGTCATATTCATATTTAGGATATGTATTACACAGTCATTTAGCTGTATTGTTTATAAGGAGATTCGATGAATGGACTTCTGATGCAAATCTGGATTTGGACAAGATCTAATATATTTTAGATAACATTGACAATATTATGATTGTAAATTATGTATGTGAAGGTAAATAAAATTATTTGTCA